ATATATATCATATATCTATACCGGGTTGTAGAACTCGTTACTCGGTAACCAATCTTTTTTTTAACTTTTAGAACATATTTTTTATCAAAAAAAAAAAACTAAAAATACAGAAATTCATAACTTTTTATCATTTTTCCAATGATATCAAATTCGAATTTTTTTTTTTTACGTCAAATTCACAATGTGAATCCGGATTCACACGGTGAATCCGAAAAATATTTTTCACATTCACAATGTTAATATATGAATTTAGATATTTTTAGATTTTTTTTTCGATAAAGAATAAGCTCCAGAAATTGAAAAAATATTTGGTTCCTTGAAGAACCAATAATTATGGTTCTCTATTGAACTTTTCCCTATATATAATATATATATATATATATATATATATATATTATATATATATATATATATATATATCTATATATCTATATATATATGAAACATCTCAAAAATACAGTCTAAAAATTTCGTTTTAAATCAGTAATGTAACCATAATTATCTTTTGACATATAAAAGTTATAAGCCGTGCATCTCAAAAATATCATAACATATATTAAACATATCAGAGTATAAACATCCCAGGCTGAACAAATGGTGTGTGCACTACAATCTTCCCGAGCTCCTCTTTTGAAAACTGAAGTACCTGAAACCAAAACTGAAACTGTAAGCACGAAGCTTAGTGAGCTCCCCCAAACCACCACATACCATACAATAACATATAAAGCAACTACTGGGTCTTGCCCACTGCATCAGACCGAAGTCCGGAACTAACTAGGGCCTTGCCCTCTGCATCGGACCGAGTCCGGAACTGACTAGAACCTTGCCCTCTGCATCGGACCGAAGTCCGGAACTGACTAGGGCCTTGCCCACTGCATCAGACCGAAGTCCGGAACTAACTAGGGCCTAGCCCACTGCATCGGACCGAAGTCCGGAACTAACTAGGGCCTAGCCCACTGCATCGGACCGAAGTCCGGAACTAACTAGGGCCTTGCCCACTGCATTGGACCGAAGACCGGAACTGACTGAACATAGCATAACATAACCATAACATATAACAAATACACATATACTGGATACTGCATCGGACCGCAGTCCGTAACACATAACACATAGACATGCCTGAATCACAAAGACATCAAGCATATTGAACTACTTCTCAGGACCACCCCGGCATCGGACCGCAGTCCTAAACTACTGCTATCTAAACGGGACGACATTGTGGCCGTAGACCCGTTTCTACTGGAAGGAAACTCACCTCACACTGCTGAAGTCCCGCTGACAGAACCATAGTTGCTCGATGACAGATTCCCGATCTGTCAATATCAAAATAACACCCAATTAATAATTGGGTTCTAACACATATTCATAAATCCATGCTCGGGGTAAAAGACTACTTTACCCCGTAACTTAGCTTGACTCAAGCTCAAGGCCCAATCCAAAGGCCCAAAAGTCTAATAATGGACCAAGGCCCAACTATGGCCCAATTTTCCAAATTGGGCCCAAACCTCTACACGGACTTCCCTTAAGGCCCGATTGTTCAGTCCAGTCCAACATGTCTCATTCTAAGGGCCCCATATAATACAACCATCTAGGCCCAAAGTATGGCCCAATTTTCCAAATTGGGCCCAATCCTTCATATGGGCCTTACCCTAAAGCCCAACTAATTACTCTAGTCCATTTGATTATTCTTGGATGGCCTATTAATAAACCAATTACCAAAACCCAATCTAAAGCCCAACTCAAGGCCCAAGTGAAACTAGGGTTTCACATAAAATGACGATTAGGGTTAAGTGTTTCTTACTTAACCCATTAAGGACTTAATCCATTAAGTCCTTTACTCTACTAGATCAATGATATGGAGAAATTGGGCTTAATACACAATCCAATCTCAATAGCCCAAAAGTGGGTCCAATAAGTCTAAGGCCTAATTACTCACAATTAGGGTTTTCTAAACCCTAATTAGGGTTTCCACTCAAACATGGCCCAATAGGCCCAAAATTAGTCTTTAAGCCCATTAGGGTTTTGGCTAGGTCCATTAGGGTTTTGCTTGTGGGGCACCACCCACTACCACCTCGGGTAGTGGTGGTCAATGGCGGCTCACGGCGGCGGCCACCGCCTTACGGTGGTGGTTTTGATTCTTTTCATTATTAACCAAAGCTAAGTACAATTACAATGTTTAATCCAAACATAAACACACACACACACACTAACTAACACGCACACACACAGCTACACCATGGTGGTCGGCGGCGGTGCTTGGCGGCAGTGGCTATTCCCGACTTTCCGGCTAGACAAAACACACACAACACCCAAATAAAAGCAAAATCACACACCCACACAACTCACAGCGACCGCCGACGGTGGCTGATGGTGACGAGCCAAGGCAGCGACGGCAGGAAGTAGAAGGAAATGGCGGCAGGCGGTGGTTGTCGTCGACGAACCCAGCAGCGGCTCCAACGGCGCACCAGCGGGCAGCAACCCACGAACCGGCGATACACATCTTCAAAGGAGAATAGCGGCAGCGACATCGATGGCGAAGGGAGGTCGGAGAAACGGCGACGCACATAGACCCAGCAGTCACGCCATTGACTACTCTCGCAAGCGGATAGAGGCTGCCACGCTGGGTAGCTCGACCCATCGGAAAAACGCAACAATGGTGACGGCGACTGGAATACTCGCACCCGGCGGTGGGAGTTGCTTCCTCAAACCACGACAGTGGCAGCGTCAGTCGAGCTCGTCATCGCCGACAATGGAGGCGGCGGCTGGATCAGGGCTTCTATGGTGATGGCGACTGGAACACTCGACTGATCGGAGCAGTGAACGAAGGGAGGGGGCGACTGACTCCACACATAGCGATTGAACTCTTCCCATTAGGGTTAGGGTTCCCATAAGGGTTATATACCCGATCCATATAACATCTTTCCCATAATTACAACCCTGGTCCCTCCCATTGGGATCTTTTCAAATCTAACCTAATATTTACAATTTAAACCCTGAATATTAGATTCCATTACAACTTAGGTACAGAAATTACCAAACTGTCACATATCTTCCATAATCTCTTCAAATGAAGTCCCATAAATTACCATTTACTCCCTGCCTTCATAAATACTTACAAAACTAATCTGGAATTTACACTTTTAACCCTCAACATCTAAAATTCTTCGCAAATCAGTCTGGGACTTACATTTATTAATTTATTTAAATAAACGGGGCGTTACAATATATAATATATATATATATATATATATATCTTTACTATATGACAAAACTGCAAAAATGGTCCCTGTGGTATGCATTTTTTTGGGGTTTTAGTCCAAACCTCGACTTTTTTGGATTAGTGGTCCTTTTGGACTAGTTTGTATGTGAAAATGGTCCCTGTGAAAATTGAAATGACTATTTATTTTTCATTTTCTTTCGTTATTTTAAAATGTAATACTATTTATTTAATTATTTTAACAATTAAAAATAATAAAGAACCCACCTCTCTCTCTCTCTCTCTCTCTCTCTCTCTCTCTCTCTCTCTCTCTCCTGCCTGTACGAAACCATTTCCCAGTTCATATTCTCCAACCAAAGAACATGATTGCAGCCCCAAAACATTAATTATGTTCATAAAACAAAAATGATGAAGGCCTCAATCAAATTGATTAGCTAAATCCAAGATTTTTAACTGGGTCATGGATAATACTTTAACTCCACAAACCAACTTCTGGTTCTTAACAACAAACCCCTTATAGCTTTGAATTCGAAGGCAAAATCAGATCTTGGTTATGCACAGATAACGAAGGCAAAATGGAGTTCTCACAACAGTATATCCTAACAACAATAACACCAGTAGACGACATCAGAGGAGGTATAATCGAAATCAGAGACCAGTTCTTCCTCATCCAAGACTGTTGATCGATCAAAAAGGAAAACAAAAAATCATGAGGGGAAAATCGGACATACAGGGGTCGCAAGAGGTGACGGGTGGTCGGAGATGACCGACGGAATCAACAGCTGACGACGACGGTGGTTCACAGCAGCGGCGACGATGGTGGCAGGAGTTGCTCCGGCGGCTTCTGCTGCTTCGTTGCCTCGTTTTTCCCGTGAGCTCGATGAGAGGGAGGGTAGGGAGGAATGAGGGTTGTGTTCGGTGGTGATTTTTAATCGAGAGAGAGAGAGAGGGAGGTATAAGTGGGTATCAGTGGTGGTAGGTCACGACTGGAAGGTGGTGTTGGGTGGTATCCGGTGGTCACAGTAACTGCAATGGAGGTGGTGATTGGGTACAAGAAGAAGACACAAAATTTTCATAAGTTAGACAACATTGTTGTTTACTCCCTATGCTGAGAGAGAGATGAAGAGGAGAAAGGAGCCCAGGGAGGGGGAGGGTGGAGGAGAGAGACGAGCGACGGCGAGTGGTTAGAGGGCGAGGGTCGGATGTGAGGAGAGGGGAGTCAGAGGAGAAAGGGTGCGAGGGGAGAGAGAGGGGAGAGGAGAATGGAGATTGTGGAGAGATGGGTGAGGAGAGGAGAGAGCGGGGAGTTGAGAGCGATCGGAGTGATTCTTTTCCGTTGGGGGAGGAGGAGGATAGGGAGGGGAGGAGGGAGAGAGGCGAGGATGAGGGACGAGGAGGGCCGGAGCGAGCGGGAGAGGAGAGGTTGGGAGACTCGAGGGGTAGGCGACGAGGCCGGACGGAGAGAGAGAGGAGAGACCCATTTTATTATTATAAAACATTAAATTACATAGAAAAATATAAAAAATATATCAAGAGGGCAATTTAGTCATTTCAATTTTCACAGGGACCATTTTTACATACAAACTAGTCCAAAAGGACCACCAATCCAAAAAAGTCGGGGTTTGGACTAAAACCCCAAAAAAATGCATACCACAAGGACCATTTTTGCAATTTTGTCTTACTATATTATTAAACATATTGCCTGTTTCTTGAAAATTAAAAGGTACAATACCTATTAACTCAAGTACAATAATATTAATCTTATCACATCTTAGACTTATTACACGGTATTACCTTATCTTACCCTAATCTCCTCTACACACAACAGACGCCATCATACCAAATATCATCCGTCTCTGTTTATCTCTTCACCCTCACGACGTCAGGTCCTTGACTCCGGCAACATCACACACAACCAGCGGACCACCACCTGTCTCCACCTTTTCTGTCACCGTTGTCCGCCACTTCTGCCTTCTGTCAAGATGAGTAGCCGTAACCCTATCCCGTAGCCACGATCAACCACCTTTTCGTTCGATTCTTAACAAACCACAGCGATCGGATACAAAATGGATCTGGAATTTGTGACTAGCATGCAACGATTTGGGGGAACGCGGTCGGATACAAATGGATCTGGAATTTGTGACTAGCATGCAACGATTTGGGGGAACGCGGTCGGATACAAATGGATCTGGAATTTGTGACTAGCATGCAACGATTTGGGGGAAACTCTGGTGTGTTGGTGTGTTCACGCTTATACGATTTGTTTTGTTGTATAATGAATATAAACTTGAATCGATTTATTTACTTCTATGTGCTATTTAACTTGATCGATTACTATCAAAATTGTTATCGCCATTTTTCATTGTTTATTGATAGACTTAGTAATGGATTAGGGCATTTTTCATCTTTTGCTTTAGCTCCAGTCCAAGCTATGAATTTAAATCATGGAAAAATGAAGTATGATTGGTGGGGAAAGCATCTGATCTGTATAAACTCATAGCCCTTAACTTTAGGCGAGCAAACGCTAATTATAGCAATAAAAGTCTACTCATTTAATGGGTATGTCTTTGTTTTTTCGATGTGTTGTGTATGTTATCTTAATACATTCTAAAAACTCTATTCATTTCTCTCTATTCTATATGTGTGTCGAAATTGTTCATATATATAGTGAATTGATCTTTATCAATCTGATTCATTTTAAAATCCATGAGTTAGAGTTGCTTGTGAAGGTTTGAGTGCATGTATATAAGTAACATTTGCCTCATTTCTAGACATGTATGTTTATTGTCATATACTCATATTTATATGGGCAACAATTTCTTTAAGGTCATGGGAAGATTTACTGATATTCATGTTTGTTGGGTTTTGAGTACAGAGTTAACCATGGTTGCTGGTAGGGTTGCTCATCCAGTGTTGAAAGGCCCAAGTGTGGTCAAGGAGTTAATCATTGGATGGGTTAGCTTGTGGTGGTTTGTGGAAAATGCATCACTGGAATGAGCAAAGAAAAACAAGGGCATTTTATGACCTTCTGGAGAAGGGTGAGATAAGTGTATTGGTTGTAGAAGAATGATGTTTATGATCAACTCTTTAAATCAGAGATGATACTCTGGATTTTTTCTTAAAAAAAATAAGGTTTTTTATTGGGTTAGGTTAATCTTCGATTCTAAAATCCAATTATGTTGACTTCAGGTGCAAAAGATCCAATAGAGTTTTTGTTGATTTGCTACTTAAGCCCACTGAAGAGGATCTGAAGATATGGCCTCACAGGCACATTTTTTATTCTATTTTTTTTAATCATAGATAATTTGTTCTTTATCTTTCTCATAAATAATTATATTCTATTTTTTATGTCATTTGTAGCTTTGAGTATCGACTGAGGGTTACTTTGGGACCTGCTGGAGACTTGATATTGACATCCCGGATCAGAAATACAAATACTGATGGAAAGCCGTTTACTTTTACATTTGCATATCACACCTATTTCTCTGTTTCTGATATCAGGTAAATTAGGAAGATTGGAGTATATGGACCTTGATGGATGTGTATGCTAACAGTTTTTGACCTACCATGCTTCTAACAGCTAGAACTTACACTATATGATCTAGAAGATTCGTTCACAGGTTTGTTGACTGTGGTGTAGTTTTTTCTTCGTCTTCTCAGGGGCAGTTTTGGAAGGACCAAATAATGCCTTTTTTGATTTGCTTTAGTTGCTTTCCAATATAGTCCATGTTGTTGGACTATCAAAGCAAAGGCCATTGTATAAAATCTGGAAAGCAGAATACTAATCCTTAGAATTTTTTTTGAATCAGGTGTGGTGCTAGACAATCTGGGAATCTAGGTTCATCTGAGGATGCACTTGATGGGATTCTTGGTTTTGGAAAATCAAATTCATCAATCATTTCACAGTTGGCTTCATCTGGAAAAGTTAAAAAGATGTTTGAACATTGTCTAGATGGTGACAATGGTGGTGGTATTTTTGCAATTGGTCATGTTGTTCAGCCCAAAGTCAACTCAACACCTTTGATCCCAGATCAGTATGTTCTTTTGTTTTTTCTTTCAGTTAACTACATTTTTTGTCCCTATGTTTCGTAATTTTCTTCGGTTTTGACCCAAAAAGATTTTTTCCCACTTTGGTCCCTATTTCCAGGTTTCACAGGGACCAAAAAATACAATTTACTCTTCTTTTGAAAACCGGACCGGCCGGTTGAACCGGTTCAACCGCGAACCGGCTGAGTCACTGGTTCTATAAGCTTCAAAAACCGGCTGTTATTGAACTAGCAAAAAACCGACAGTTTGATCAAAAAACGGTTAAAAGTCGACTATTGCTGTTAACTTCTCAACAATTATGCGTTTCGTTCCTTCTTTTAAATAGGATAACAAAGCTAAAACATATGTTATCCATCGATGTGCGATGCATGTTCACTACCAGTTAACTTTTTTCCTTTTTGCATTCCTTTGTTTTAGTATTAGTTATATATACAATTAAAATGATAGATTATTTTTGCAAATTAGTTTGTAATTTAAAGGATATATATTGTATGGATTATATATATATATCCGGTTCTATCCGTTTTTTAGGACCGGTTCAACCGGTCCGACCACTTGAACCATCGAACCGGTATGGCTGCCGGTTCAGTGCCGGTCCGGTTTTCAAAACAATGATTTGTAGAAATAATCCTATTTGTATGTCTGCATTATTCATCATAGCATTTTGTGATGCGTGTTACAAGCGTATAAACGAGTGCTTGAGAAGCCAACTCCTGAAACATAGAGAAGCAGGAGTTACAAAGATGCAAAGATGCAGGTAATCAAAGACCTGCATATCCTTCCTTCAAACCAACCAAAGACTGGGATAAGCTTGAAGCCCAAGTGAAAAAGGAGGTATACAATACACTTTGATTACACAAACACACATTCAATAACTCACTTAACTTTTGTGTTTTGTGTTTTTGTGTTTTCAGGAAAAAGATGAAAAACTGGATGGGAATGCAGCTCTTAACAAGTTTTTCCGTGATATTTACAAAGATACAGATGATGATACAAGAAGGGCCATGAGGATATCTTTTGTAAGAACTCACTTATTTAATTCTTTATTTCATCTTTTTAATAATAGAATAAGTTGTTTATTTAAATGAAAATGAATTTTTTTTCTTGGATTAATGGAAATATCAGATGATTTGGGTCAGAATCTACCAAAATTTCCTCATAAATCCAAAAATAATTTTTTTTCTTGGATTAACGGAAACTTTTGACAGTTATTAAATTGATTTTTAAAAAATTTTAGTATATTTGTTATTGTAGTATTTTTAATATGACATTATCTTAAGTAAATTATATTATAATAATATGATTAATTTTGGTATGATTTAAAATATTTTTGGTATGACTTTTGACAGTTATTAAATTGATTTTTAAATTTTTTAGTATATTTGTTAATGTTAGTATTTTTAGTATGATATTATCTTAATTAAAATATTATAATAATGTGATTAATTTTGGTATGATTTAAAATATTTTTGATATTATTTATGACAGTTACTAAATTGATTTTTTAATTGTTTTAGTATATTTGTTAATGTTAGTATTTATAGTATGATATCAATTTGTTTAATTTTGGAATGATTATCAGTTTCTGAAATTATATCGTAGAATACTTTATTCCACCTATAAATCTAATATATGTTCCTATTTTTTACTCTTACAACACACAATTCCAAACGTAGGTGTTTATCTACCAGAATCGGTATTCTCACATAGCCAACTTTATGTGGCGTTGTCAAGAGGAATATCACATGTCAATACCAATGTATTAGTAAAGCCGGAAAAAACGTTTGATAATGATGGAATCTACACATCAAACGTTGTGTACAAAGAAGTTTTATGTGATCAACAAGGTACAATCAACAACTTATTATTTTACAATTTCTTCAAATATGAATCTTATATGCTCATTTGATGTTTAATGCAGGGCTAGCTGATGAAGCAACATGATTGCAGATTGGTGTAGTTTATACTGGACATGTTATAAATATACAAAACTACATGATTGTAGATTTTTGTAATTTATATATTGTAAAATCAAGTATGAACTATTACATGAAATTCCAAATGTATACTCAACTTTTGCCGTATTGTATGCACCTAGCTAGAAACTATCCGTTGAAATGAACTATTCGACACAAAATAGTTACCAAAAGGCCGCAATGAATAGCTCACGTCTAACAAATCACACAATCATCACATTAAAACTAACTTCCGAAAGAAACTATTTGCCGCCCGGCGCTTGGCGCGGGTAACGGCTAGTATATATATATATATATATATATATATATATATATATATATATATATATATAAATGGCTGATGGCTTTCGTTCACAACCGCCTACGTTTTTCATTTTATCTCAATTTTGAATTTAGTTGTTAATTTGGAGGCATGACAAATGGACCTAAATCATGCAGATGGACCTAGATCATGTAACTGAGAACATAACTCTTTTACTATTGAACTTTTGTGTAAATATATTACTTCTGTTGGAGTTACTCATGCTCATTAGTTTCACAGTCAATCTTAGTTGATGAACATCTTTTACATAACCATGAATATTGACAAGAATTCTAAAGTTATGCAAACAGAGAATAATTTTTATTGCAACTGATTTTGTATCTTGTTGAAAAAATGCAGATGTCTGATTATCTATGCGAAGATTTGATTGTTGAAATATTTACAAGACTACCACCCAAATCCCTCATCCGATTTAGATCACTCTCTAAATCGTTATATAGTTGTATTTCTAGCCCTGGTTTTATACGCATCCACACTTTTCGATCCCCACAAAAAATCCTCTTCAGACATCAAAATAAAGAAGCAGAATCTTTTTATACCTTACATGGAGAGGAGGAATTGTCATTGTATTTGTGTCCCAAACGTGGATACATTGGTATAACAACAACAATCTCGTTCCCTTCTAGAAATAATTTCAGAACTGTTGGTTCATGTAATGGAACTTTCTGTTTGCTGTTTAAAAAATGTGTGACTCTATGGAACCTTTCAATCAGGTGCAAACTAATCGTTCCTGAATGTCCTCGGAGATCTGAATCCTTTTTGGATGGGATTGGGTTGGGGTTTGATCCAATCAGTGATGATTACAAAGTTGTCTGGATATCGTATGTCAAAGACAATTCATTTGTTTATGCTGTGAAGAGTGGCACTTGGTGTGAGATTGCTTCCCCTAAACATCAAAATCAGATTTCTCGTTTGAGATATGATGCCTTTTTTTTCAGTGGAGTCTTGCATTGGGTGCTAATTGTTTATCAAACAGGATTACCAGTCAAAAGCAATTCTTGTATACTAACCTTCGATTTGAGCACTCATGTTTTTGATATGATTCCATTGCCTACATCCAATCGGCATTGGATTATGACAGGAGTAACAAACATCCAAAGTTCTTTAGGTTTGATTTCTTATAGTGATGAATTTAATGAAAGTTGGATTCGGGTATGGAGAGATGATTCTTGGTCTGGGGTTTTTAAATTGAATACGGATCAACTTTTTGTTATAGGTGTTTGGCAATTACAACCGCAACCGACCAACAATGGTGATTTGTTGCTGAATACTTATTGTCAGGGGCTCCATGTTTATAATCACAAGACGGGGGTGCCATAAAGAGTAGTCGATTTCAATGCTGCTTCTAGGTTATATAACTTTGATTGGTGTGTCGAAACCCTTCATTTGTTAGACATGGAGGAGACTATTTGTAAAACGGAAGAACTATGAAAAAAAAATAACAACATTATATTTTGATTTTCGACGTATTTTAATTACCATTTGGGTTTTTGTCATTGGTACAAAAAGGGTTTTTTTTAATAAAAAAAAATTTCCCACTTGTTTGCCTATAAAAGGAGATCTTCTCGAGGCTAAAGTTGTTGATCAGGCCCGACACACACCCTGAAAAAAAATAAGGCCCGAAATCTAGCGAAATTACCTATTAAATATGTTAATATATATTAGTTTACTTAAATGTTTACAAAACCATCTATTAGATCAACTGGATAAGAAGCGCTTCATTAATTTTTCCTCGGAGATTCATGTTCGATTCTAGCCACATGCACTTTCTCTGATTTGTTTGTTTCCTAGAGGATGTGCCCTCGCTTCACTATGGGTCTGGGAAGTTGTCTTTTCCTCGGTAGGTTCTAGTTTCACAGTACATATTTAATTTTTAAAAGACACAACGAAAAAAATATGGCAGTTAACCTTGCTTAAATAGCAGCAATCATAAATGAATTACAGTAGTGTCTTGAGTAAATTTGGGCTCCTCACACCTGTAACTCCATCAGATCCAATTCCAAAGTCTCGTGCTCTACGCCCTGTGCCTAAGGCAACAAAAACGGGTATGGGGTTACGAGATGCGTAGCCTAAGTTATGCCCTGCGAAACTGTATTGATGCCAAAATTTCCTATTAAGTGCTTAATACAGAAAGACACCATGTCTAACTCACAGATCTGGTCTTAATAAATGTCCTAAGTGATAAAATTCCGAACTTTATGCATTTGCATGGCTTACCACGGCTCAAGGACAAACCCTAATCTCATGACAACTTCTAAAAACCAAAAACTCATGCATTGATGGTAGGAAAAGGCCAAGATCCCATTTTTATGACTTTACAACTCCAAAATCTACTGGAAATGATACTCTAATGGCCAAGAGTAGCTCATACTCATAAGAACCAAGGTTATGGGACCAAAAAGGGCATAAAATTCAACATCCAATCTAGATCTAACATGGGAAGCATTGAGGTACAAACTTTATACCTTCTGGAGATGAATGAGAGAAAGAGACTTCTGATCCAAGGTTGATTCAAGCTTCTAAGCAACTCCACCACCTTTTTATTTCTTCAAAATCACACAAACACACTATTAAGCTCACAATTACACCAAAAGGAGTCTAGGGTTTCAGAGGAAATGTTTAGGGGAATAAAAGTTTTGAATGGGAGGGCCTCAAGAGAGTTAGAGCCCTTAAATAGGGCTCAGAACCCCAAGATTAGGGTTTGGGCTCTAGGCTGGTAAACACTGCATACCAAGATCTATGCCCTGCGTGGAACATTAAAATCTCACTTCATGATTCTCTACGCGCTGTGTAGGAGGCTACCTATGCCCCGTGTAGGACCAAGCTTCCCAAGGCTTAAACCCACATTTGAGGAAAGAGTCCACTTTGCAAGAACTGGATGTTACATGTTCCAGTGTCTTCAAACTAGTAAACCCGTCATAGTAGTTTTGGTTAAAATTCAGGATGTTGGAACACCTGAATTAGATTGGAATACCGCAATCTAGATTCATGTATGATCTCTTCAAGCATCTCTACAAATCGAAGACGGTAACTTCCATGGATTGTATTTAAGTCTCACCTATGAACAACTTCAGGTCTCCGACACTTTGGTAAGCTTCAATTGATGTGTTTTTTGGTTTTTGATTTATTTCAACTCGGTGTATTGCTCGTATATCGCCAGTGCTAAAGGGTTTCTCTGGTCGGAGATGACATAATGAAGGGAAGGGGAGTCGTGTGTGGTGTTTCTGAAGTGAAAATGGAGACATGTGTGGCGCAAAGGTTATCGTCGGAGGTGAAACATTGTGTTCACCGAAATCTGGAATGGCAAGGGGAAGATGATTGTGAGAGGAAATGATGGAATCAAGGAGATTAGAATTATGAACAGAAATCGGGTGTGGGCTTGTGCTTGTTTTTAATTGAGTTTCAAAGATCTGATCTGCAAATTTGATTTTTTTAAGGATTTCAGGAACTTTTTTGCAAACACGATTGAGAGAGGCGACGATGGAATCATGGAGATGGAGTCTTGGTTTTAATCAGAGAGAGAGAGATAGGGGGAGAGATAGAGAGAGAGACCCTTTCCATATTAAATTTCATTTTTTTTAAATAAAATAAAATAAAATAAGAGAAAACCTCATAAATGGTCCCTAGATAGTGAAATGACGAAAATGTCCTTCACTTAATGGCCAAAAGCTGACGAAGTTAGCAAAAAAGACCAAACATCAAAAGTTTTGAAAGCACAGAGACCATTTGTGAATTTTTGAACTTAGAGACTAAACTTCAAATTTGGAAAAAACAAAAGGACCAAAAATGATGTTTTCTTTAAATTATTTTATACAAATTATGTATTTGGTTCTATTTATATAATAATATAAATTTTAAAGCTATTAAAACGAAAGATTTTAGATAAATAGTAAAAAACTTTCAAATTCAAGTGGTTTTAATGAAAATGTAAAGAGTTTGAGAGAAAGAATATATACTTGGATTATTCTTTTTAGTGTAAAAAATAGAGTGAAAATTAAATCTGGGTTGGAGATGGATCACTGTTAGCACTATTATTCACTCAAAAATAGAGTGCGGTTGAAGATGGTCTAACTCCCGTTTCTTGTTTTTGTTTTTTTTTTTCCATAAATCCCAAACCCTTGTGTTTGAATTCCACGAGGGAGATAATGAGAATCTGCATCTATGGCCAGCCAATGAAAAGCTCACAGTCGACTGGAAGGAGAAAGATGAGAGACAGTTATGTTTGTTGAGCAATAACATCCTGAAGAGTACGACACTGATACGAGAGCCCTAACGTAAATAATTTGCTCGATGTGGGGCTCATTATTGCAACATTTAGGAATTTGGAAATGACAAAAAGGAAAGTAAAATCGGTTTTCGGTTGTTGGTCATCTTTGTGTGTAATTACTAATTAGTGTGAACCTAGAGGAGAAAACATCATGGGATCAAAAGAAAGAAGAAAACAAAACAAAATGAAAAATAAGAAAGTGATAATGCGAGAAGGAGAGAGTAAGTGTAGGTGTTTGTTCTTCGTGTTCATGATGAAACCAATCGAACCCAAATGAATACCAAAAATTGAATCCATGCATGATGAACCCATTTATGTGCTTTGGACTTCGTTTTCTTCACAAGATGAACCCATATTTGATCTTCGGACCAACATTTTCTTCACAATATCTGATCCAGAATAACGCCTGTGCTGGAAAATGGAGATGATTGGATGTTTTTTCCGGTGATGGTGAGGTAGTAAGCCAATGGCCTATAGGATATGGTTCACTATGTCCTTACTCTAAAAATGGGTCGTCTCAGCTTCACCTACACCACTAACCTTAGGAATACCACTCCACATCATTCATATCTTTTTATTTTTTATTTATTTTAATACGACGCTTAAAAAATTCCATTTCCAAAAGCAAAATATAAACTCCATTCATAAAATGAATACAAATTACATTAATAAAACAAAAAAAATTACACTAATATGAAAATAAAAATTACAATGATATTAATAAAACTAAAATGCATAATTAATCATCATATTTTGCTTGAATTTTCCGTTCGAGCTTTAAAAACGTTCGAAGTTGTTCTGACGAATATCTAGTTTTTGAGGTAAAGTGAATGAGCAATAGTTGGTAGTTTAGAAATTAAAAAAAAAAATGGTGGTTATAGTTTGAAAATGTATTTTAGATCATTCTCTAGGCGTCTGTGAGTTCTACATTGGTTTTGGTCACGCATGTTTTTAATGTTGTCGAGGTTCAGCTGTACAACTACTTCTTTGGGCGGTTAACTGGAGAGGAGTCATGAGAAAACATCATGACCGAAAAGATAAAATTAAAACTTAGATGTTATAAATATATTTAATCTTAATTGTTGTATTCTACAACTTTTATAAATGCTCCTTAAAAAGTATTCAATGTTTTCATGTTACTTGGTATGCTCTAACTTCTCCAAATGCAATATATATGTATAAGGGCCGGCCCATTGTTCATTTTAGCAGCCCAAACAGGGTGTAGAAAGGACTAAAGGAGTTATATACAGCTAGGGATGGGCATACTTACATCCAAAATCCTCTTCTTCATCGTGATCCACAGGCCACAGCTTTCTTTTTTTGCCTTATAGTTTATGCGATGGGCTACAACAATGTTCAGATTCACCAAATTGTAATCCTGTGAATAACATTTATAGAATATTTCTTATTGATTGCAAATATGACAAACAAAACTAAATCGAATTGTATGACTGATATATACATACATAAATAAGCATATAAATGCCCAGTGGCTTTCGTTCACAACTACTTACTTTTTTCATTTTCTCTGTAGACAAATCGACTACAATAAATAATCGATAACTTCAAGATCGAAGTATAAAACCCAAATATCACGATAACGATTCAACGGAATATAAAACTATTTGAATAATCAACCAAGAATAAATTGAACGATAAAAAGAAAAAAGCACGCGATATTTACGTGGAAACCCAAATCGGGAAAAACCACGGACGGAGGAAGCCGAGAACCAATTTACTATAATATTCAGTGTTTACAGAGATAGAGGAAAGAAAAACAAATATATCAAATATATATTTGTATGAATATGAGAGAAAAATGAAGATGTAATTTGAGGTGTGGTGTTTTTAATAAGCTTGGTTTCATTTCCTTTTATAGGCAAATGAATGTATGAATTCAATTGTCTATTACCATCCAAGCTTGACAAACATGCTACCATCCATTCTTCACAAACATGCTACCAACCATTCTTGACAAATTAAAACCACATGTGTAGAATGGTATTCTAGAAATCATCCAATGTTGAAGTTTGAAGGAAACTTCCACAATCTCCACCTTGACTTCAAATGAGACAGGATGAAAAAACTTTAACTTGCACAATGATCATGCAAAACAGTTTATCAACAGCTCATCATACTCCAAATCTCTATAAGAATCTGCAAACACCATATGAGAAAAAATTGATTTTGAAAAGTAAATATACTTCCTCCACCACGAGCCTATCAGGCTCAAATGCGATCTGAAACACCCACCAAATCCAAACATGCTTTGAATTTGGCTATTGGAAGACTTTTAGTGAACATATCAGCAGGATTATCATTGGTGCTGATCTTGTTTACTGTAATATCGCCTTTAGCAATAACATCTCTGATGAAGTGATAACGAACATCAATATGCTTCGTTCGATCATGGAACATTTGATCCTTCGTCAGAAATATTGCACTTTGATTGTCACAAAAAACAGTGTTAACAGATAACTTGTTTGAAAGCTCACCTATCAACCGTTTCAACCAGAGGGCTTCCTTCACTGCTTCCGTAGCAGCCATGTATTCGGCTTCAGTGGTGGATAACGCTACAGTAGATTGTAACTGCGCAATCACCCAAAGTAAACACGTACCCTGTAATCGATCGTCTTTTATCCAAGTCCTTTGCATAATCGGAATCCACATAACCAAGTACTCCATTATCGGTTTTTCCAAACCGCAGACATAAAGAGGAAGTACCTCGCAAGTAGCGAAAAACCCATTTAACAGCAACCCAATGCTCCTTTCCTGGATTCGCCATGTATCTGCTCACCATGCTTACCGCATATGACAAATTTGGACGTGTACAAATCATAGCATACATAAGAGATCCTACAGCGCTGGAGTATGGTACATTTGCCATGTATGCTATATCTTCTTCGGTGGTAGGACTTAAGGCGGATGATAGCTTGAAGTGGGTTGTGAAAGGAGTGCTGACTTCTTTTGCGTCATGCATATTGAAACGGTGCAGAACCTTCTCAATGTAGCTTTGTTGAGAAAGGTATAGAGTTCTTGCACTACGGTCTCACACTATTTCCATTCCTAGAATTTTCTTGGCAGCACCCAAGTCCTTCATATCGAACTCAGCATTCAACTGGTCTTTTATCTTTTGAATCTCCTTTATATTCTTCGCTGCAATTAACATGTCATCCACGTATAAAAGTAGATAGACCACTGAACCATCGTCACACTTTTTGTAGTAAACGCAGCTGTCGTAGGTGCACCTTTTCAGCTTGTGACTGGTCATAAATGAGTCAAACCTTTTATACCATTGTCGAGGAGATTGCTTGAGGCCATAAAGAGACTTCTTCAATTTGCACACGTAGCTTTCCTTGCCAGGAGCTACAAAACCTTCAGGTTGTTGCATATATATCTCTTCCTCAAGCACACCATTTAAGAATGTTGTAGTAACATCAAGTTGCTCTAATTCATAGTCATGAGAGGCAACTAATCCCAACAAGACACGTATTGACGTGTGTTTCACAACCGGAGAGAAAATGTCGGTATAATCGATACCTGGGATTTGACTGTAGCCTTTGGCTACCAAACGAGCTTTATATCTTGGTTTGTCACCAGGGTGGATAGCCTCCTTCAACTTGTAGACCCATTTGCACTTAACTGTCTTCATACCCTTTGGAGCTGGAACGAGATCCCATGTGCCATTTTTCTGAAGAGATTTCATCTCCTCGTGCATGGCAACCATCCACTTATTAGAATGTTTGGATTGAATGGCCTCGTTGTAGCTTGTGGGCTCCAGAACAGACTCAACTTCATTGGCAACTGTAAGTGCATAAGCGACATAATTGGCTTGAACATATCTCTTTGGAGGTACAATCTGTCTGCGAGGTCTATCTCTTGCAATGGAGGGACTGTGAGGTTGGCTTGGAGCTTCGGCTGGCTCATGAGAAGAGGAATGTTGATTATTCGAGGGTTGAGAAACCTCGACACCTTCATGAGACTGGTCCTCGAAAGATGAATTTAAAGGAAACTCCACCTCCACTCGAACTTTGTCTTTTTCCGAATTTTCATTTTCTCTGGTCTGAATGTTGGAGACAGGATGAAGCATGGCTTTTTCATCGAAGGTCACATCTTTAGATGTCAAAACCTTGCTTAGCTCCGGGCTCCATAATTTGAACCCTTTAACACCTGTTGGATATCCGAGAAAGACGCATTTAATTGCCCTCGGTTCCAATTTACCGTTATCAACTCGGGCATATGCTGGACATCTAAATGGAATCAATTTCGTGTAATCAGCAGGTTGGCCGGACCAAAGCTCAAATGGGGTCTTCTTTTGAATAGCACGAGAAGGGGAACAGTTGATAATGTAGCATGCGGTTGAAGCGGCCTCGGCCCAAAAAGACTTCGGCAACTTCGAATGAGATAGCATGCATCGGACCTTCTCCATGATGGTGCGGTTCATACGTTCCGCTACGCCGTTCTGCTGTGGTGTTGAACTACGGTGCGATGCCTCGTAATTCCTTCCCTACGGCAATAGGAGTTGAATTATTCATAACAAAATTCCAGTCCATTATCAGTACGAAGGTATTTCACTTCAAAACCTGATTGCTTTTCAACCAATACTTTCCAATCTCTAAAAGTTTGGAATACTTCTCCCTTTGACTTCAAGAAGAACGACCATACCTTTCTTGAGAAATCGTCAATGATCGTGAGCATATAAGAGGCTCCACCTTTCGATGTAACCTTCGCTGGTCCCCATAAATCAGAGTGTATGTAGTCAAGTGGCCCTTTCATCGTATGTTTGCCACCGATAAAACTCACTCGCTTCTGCTTTCCAAATACACAATCTTCACAGAATTCAAGTTCGATTGATTTGTGCTCCCCGAGCAACCCCCTTCGACTTAGTTCATTCATACCATGGTATGACATGTGAGCGAGCCTGAGGTGTCATAGACGAGAGCGATCAGCGTTGGAGAGGGATTTAGAACATACCGAGACTTCGCCGGAGATAACTTGCCCATCCATAATGTAAAGGTTTGCGGATTTTCTAACTCCTCGGATGACCACAGAACCTTCCTTGAAAATATGGAGTTTCCCGTCTTTGCCAACAAACTCGTAACCTTTCTTCTCGAAAGTACTGAGACTTAGTAAATTTCGCCTAAGACCGGATACGTGCTTCACATCTTGAATCGTTCGAACAACGCCATCGAACATGCGGAACCTGAGTGTACCCCGTCCAATAATACGACACGAAGTGTCGTTACCCATTAGAACGTGGCCTTCGTTAACCTTTTCATATGAATGAAAAACGCTTTGGTTGGAGCTCATATGAAAAGTACACGCTGAATCAAGTACCCACTCACTCGTGGTCATTAAACCGTAGTCTGAAACGGATAGAAGCTCGCCATCGGAACGAGTTTCGGCAACATCAGCTTCAACGGTGTTATTGGTTGTTTTTCCCTTTGCGATTGCCTTTGCTTTCTCCTTGTTCTTTAACTTGAAACATTCATCGATCAGATGTCCCTTCTTGTGGCAATAATTGCAATACTTGCGATTGGCTTTGGACTTAGATCTAGATTGGTTTTGTGAAGAGCTACCTCTCTCGTTAGGTCTCCCTCTAATGTTGAGACCTTCGGCTTTAGAATCGTTGCTACTGTTCCCAACTATCTGCTTCATCTTTTCCTTTGAATCAAGAGCAGTCATTACCTCGTCAAGGACAAGAGTGTCCCGAGAATAGATAATGGTGTCACGAAAGTGATCGTAGGAGTCTGGGAGAGAAGATAATAAAAATAACGCCAAGTCTTCATCTTCGTATTTGACGTCCATATTCTCCAGATTTCCTACAAGCTCTTTAAAGGTAGAGAGGTGATCAGACAAAGAACTACCTTCACCCATCTTTAGGTTAAAAAGTCGTTGCTTCAAGTGTAGCTTGTTGAGCAAGCTTTTCGTCATAAGTAGCTGCTCGAGTTTTAGCCAGAGAGCCGCTGCGGATGTCTCTTTCAACACATCTTGGAGAACGTCGTTAGAAAGATGCAGACGGATCTGCGACGACGCCTTTAGATCTTTCATCTCCTTTTCCTCAGTCGACCAAGTTGCCGGCATTTTCTCCATTCCTAATAGTGCTTTGTGGAGATCCATTTGGATCAACACATCTTTCATCTTTACTTGCCAGAGAGGGAATCTTGTGTTTCTGTCAAGTAAAGGAATATCGTACTTCATCGATGACATGGTTGAAAATAGTTTTTTACGAATCGTTATCGGAAAACCCGGATAGCTCTGATACCAATTGTAGACAAATCGACTACAATAAATAATCGATAACTTCAAGATCGAAGTATAAAACCCAAATATCACGATAACGATTCAACGGAATATAAAACTATTTGAATAATCAACCAAGAATAAATCGAACGATAAAAAGAAAAAAACACGCGATATTTACGTGGAAACCCAAATCGGGAAAAACCACGGGCGGAGGAAGCCGAGAACCAATTTACTATAATATTCAGTGTTTACAGAGATAGAGGAAAGAAAAACAAATATATCAAATATATATTTGTATGAATATGAGAGAAAAATGAAGATGTAATTTGAGGTGTGGTGTTTTTAATAAGCTTGGTTTCATTTCCTTTTATAGGCAAATGAATGTATGAATTCAATTGTCTATTACCATCCAAGCTTGACAAACATGCTACCATCCATTCTTGACAAACATGCTACCACCCATTCTTGACAAATTAAAACCACATGTGTAGAATGGTATTCTAGAAATCATCCAATGTTGAAGTTTGAAGGAAACTTCCACATTCTCCAAGTCTTCGTCGTTCACAGTCAATGTTAGTTTACACAACCATGAATATTGACAATTCTAAAGTTATGAAAACAGAGAATAATTTTGATTGCAACTGATTTTGTATCTTGTTGAAAAAATGCAGATGTCTGATTATCTATGCGAAGATTTCATTGCTGAAATATTTACAAGACTACCACCCAAATCCCTCCTCCGATTTAGATCACTCTCTAAATCGTTACATAGTTGTATTTCTAGCCCTGGTTTTATACGCATGCACACTTTTCGATCCCCACAAAAAATCCTCTTCAGACATCAAAATAAAGAAGCAGAATCTTTTTATACCTTACATGGAGATGAGGAATTGCCATTGTATTTGTGTCCCAAACGTGGATACATTGGTATAACAACAACAATCTTGTTCCCTTCTGGGGGAACTATTGGTTCATGTAATGAAATTTTCTGTTTGCGGACTAAAAAAGGTTTTACTCTATGCAACCCTTCAATCAGGCGCAAACTAAACGTGCCTGAATTTCCTCGGAGATCTGAATCCTTTTTGTTGCAAGGTATTGGCTTTGGATTCGATCCAATCAGTGATGATTACAAAATTGTTCGGATATCAAATGTCAAAAACCATTCATTTGTTTATGCGGTGAAGAGTGGCACTTGGTGTGAGATTGCATCCCCTAAACATGAAAATCAGATTTGTAGTGTGCAACATGATGCCTTGTTTTTCAATGGAGTGTTGTGTTGGGTGATACATGTTTATCAAACAGAACCAAACGACATAGGCATTTGTTGTATACTAACATTTGATTTGAGCACTCATGTTTTTGGTATGATGCCTACATCCAACCGGCATTGGTTGACGACGGGACTAACAACCATCCAAGGTTCTTTAACTTTGATTTCTCATCGTCGTGAATTTAATGAAAGATGGATTTGGGTATGGAGAGATGCTTCTTGGTCTGTGGTTTTTAAAATGAATACAGATGAACTTTATGTTCTAGGAGCTTTGCAATTGCAACCACAACCGACCAACAATGGTGATTTGTTGCTAAATACTCATTCTCATGGGCTCCAAATTTATAATCGCAAGACGGGGGTGCCATCAAGAGTAGGCGACTTCAATGCTGCTTCAAGTTTATGTTACTTTTATCAGTGTGTCGAAAGCCTTTATTTGTTAGACACGGGGGAGACTATTGGTGAAACGGAAGAACTATGAAGAAAAAATAACAACCTTACATTTTGAATTTTGACGCATTTTAATTACCATTTTGGTCTTTGTCATTGATACAAAGGGTTTTTTTAGTGAATAAACAAATATGTAATTTCCAGTGCATCAAGTACATTTTTCTCCATGTGAGCACATTTAGAACTTCACATACGATCTGGCATTTCGTCGAGCACCTAGTAGGCGTCTCTTCACCTGACAGTTGCGCTAGTCTAGGGTCATCAGGAGCATCATCTTCAACCTTTGCTGACAATCAAAGATCATCAAGTTGTAGGGCGCATCAGGCATAGTACAGCTAGGTGAATCAAAATCATTAAGCACGAATTTGATTCTAACCTATAGCGCATGTGATTCAATTGCTTGGGTGTCCCACTTAGCGACAGGGCACTCAATTATCGGTGCATGAGGCTAGCGTATGGAGGCTCGTTCATCTGACCATCAACATCTTGACCAAGGTGAGCAAAAACCGAACCGAGAAAATAAAAACCGACAAAACCGCAACCGAAAAACCGAAACCGATGCAAAAACCGAGGATGCGGATTTTATTTTCACAAAAACCGAAGTTATTGGTGCGGTGCGGTTTTTACCTAGAAACCGGTCCATCAAAACCGAACCGCACCGAAGGCGTACAAACAATAAATCACTAATTTATATTATATACATATTATTTAAAAAACTAATATCTACTATATGTTGAATTTGACGGTAGTTAGGTTTAGCGATTAAACTTTAATAGATATACACGTGAGTATGTATAATGTATGTGAGAATCTATCTTTAATTTCTCATAACTCATAACATTATTTAATTTTGTGGCTTTGTGTTTCTGTAACTATATGTGGGCAGTATGTAACACCCCGTTTATTTAATAAATAAATAGACGAAATTAATGAATAAATCGTAGCCCTGAAATGAATAATTATATAGCAAGGTGTTGGTTTTGGGAAGCCTAATGCCATAAGTTGGAATATTCGGGGGTCAAAGTATAAATTCGAGATTTATTTTGTAAAGATTTTAGAAGACAGGGGCTAAAGAGTTAATTATGGACCTCATTTGAAAATAATTGTAGGGGGAGGGGCCACCTAGTAAAATATGGGACTTAATTTGTAAGGGATTTACATGGATGGGGTTAAAAGGGTAAAATATGGGCTGACTTTGAAAGAAAATGTGAATGGAGGGGCTAATTGTGACATTATGGTAAAATGCTTAAGGGCGTCGGGTATTTAGCGAACAAACCCTAATCCTAATCGACCATTTGCAGCCGCATCCCTCCACCCTTATGTCTCCCACCGGCCGCCACCTCCTTCTTCACTTCCGGTAGCCACCATCATCAAAGAAGCCCTCCTCAGCCACCCCTTTTGGCATCACCGAGTCCGACAGCCCAGCCCGCTTGCTGTCTTGTCAACAAACGTCGTAGAACCACCAGAAACGCCGCCGATGCATTCCTTCCTTTGTCGACGAAGACTGCCCCTTGGTCGTCGGGGTCGTGGGCAGTTAGGGGACGTGAGCTGTTGTTGTTGTCGTTCACCAGTCGGCGTCGTGACCCCCTTTCCTTCCCCGTTCTTCTTCTGTTACGTTGTCACAGGCCCGCCGCCGCCGCCTGTGCAACGCGTTGCTGCTCCGGTCATCGTTTGCCACCCGAGAGGCGGTCGAGTTCGTGTCTCACGTGGGTTCAAGGGCGCTGTTGTTTCAGATTCGTGTGGTGTGGCTGTGTGACTGGGAACCAACAAAAACCACCGCCACCACCGTGAGGTGGTGGCTGCCATCATAAAATCACCACTGCCGCTGCCATACACCATCAAATGGGTGGTTGGCTTCTCTGTCCGAGAAATAGATGTGAAAGTGTGCGTGTTTCAGTTTGTGGGCGTGTGTGTTTGCCGGGAATTCTCGGAAAAGGCATCACCACCACCGTGAGGTGGTGACTGCCGCCACGCGCCACCGCCGACCACCACAAGGTGGTTATGTATGTGTGTGTTTAGCTTAGTTGTGTGTGGTGTTTATTTTTAGTGTGTGTTTATTTGGGATTAAAGCTTTGTAAAATGTATTAGAAAGGGGAATAATGAAAAAGAAACCCTAACCACCACCGTGAGGTGGTGGCTACCGCCACCAGCCGCCATGTCGGGTGGCGGTGTGCCCCGTTTGCATTGTGACTCGTTGGGATGTTTGGACAAAGGGACTAAAACCCTAGTGGGCCCAATGAAACCCTAATGGGCCCAACGAAGCCCTAATTGATCTAAAAGCCCAAACATGTGACTAATGGGCCTAATGAACCCTAATTGATCAAAAGACCTAGCTATTGGGCCTATTGGCTAAGATGGGATTGGAAACCCTAATTAGGGTTTAGAAAACCCTAACATTGGACCATGAAATCCCAACATAATTGTTTTCAAATCAGTATTCAATACAACTTATTTAAATCATCAGAGTGTCTCCAAAAACATATCAGTGAAATAGAGATAGAGTGCATGTCGCGCCATCACGCCTTGCCCTTGCCCTTGGGCTCAGATGTACCTGAAACAAATCAACAACATGTAAGCGAAATGCTTAGTGAGTCCCCCAGAGCATACCACACACAATACACATACATATATCATGTTAGCTAATTAAAGCCACACACATATCACATAAGCCATGCATACATAAAACCTGCAGGAATGCCATGGGCTACCCCACATGGTCTTTACCTAGGACTGCCATGGGCTAACCCACATGGTCTTACATCCAATGCCATGGGCTCCCCCACATGGTCTTTACCTAGGATTGCCATGAGCTAGCCCACATGGTCTTATATCTAATGCCACAGGCTCCCCCCCCCCTCGGGGTCTTCCATGCAAAACACATAATCACATATCATCACAAATCACATATCATATCAAGTCACATAAGGACCAACACATATATCATGATCACATAATGGGCCGGCTTTGGTGCCTTAGACCCATGGGTATGGTGAGAAGACTCACCTCAGTCTGCTGAATGCGAAAGCTGCTCTCTCCTAACAGTCGGTAACCTCCCGTGTTGAATAATAATATTAACCCATGTTAGGACATCACAATCAAAGGAAACCCAAACTCCAAACCCTTCCCTAAGGCCCAATTATCCATCCCTTGCTAATGGGCCCAAAGTCCAAGTCCAAAATCCTTAATGGGCCTCTTGGCCCAATAAGGACCAATCAATATGTCCATGGCCCATAACAGATGATATGACTTAATTTCTCAGAATACCACTATGCCCAATAATCAAATGAGGCCCAATAGCTCAAGGGCGCAAAACAGATTCGGCCCAACTGTGATGCGTACGCTTAGCGTACCATCCTCGTACGCGCAGCGTACTGGGGTTCTAGGGCTTACGCGCAGCGTATACTAGGTTACGCCCAACGTACAAACAGATTAAGCACTTTTTCCATTAAGTGCTTAATACTCGATTCCTTTACGTCCAGAAGTCAGATCTAACCCTATTAAGACGACCTAAGGCATAAAGTTGGCAACTTTATGCCTTTGCATGTCCCATATGTTCCCAACACCCTCATTAAGACCTTTTTAAAGCTCTTAACCCATGTATGAGGTCAAAATACCCACCAAGACTCCATTTTTATGTTGAAAAAGGACTAAGGGACCTCAGATATGTCATTTCCATCCTTTGGAGTTGCTTAGCTCACAAGAGGATGTCCAAAACCAACCAAAGGGACAAAATTAGAAAACCCTAGCTAGATCTAGTGATTTAAATGCAAAGGTGAAAGCTTTATACCTCCAGAAGCTCCTCAAGGTCGACAATATGCAAGTCCTTGAAGCCAAATGACACTACAAGCTTCCTTGACAACTTTTTCTTCTTGGATGAACACTAAAAGGACCAAGATGCACTCTTGAAGCTCAAAATGCACTCACAAATGATATTAGGGTTTTCAGAGGCGTTTGAAGGTGAAGGAGGCTGTTACGGGTGAGGCTCAAAAGAGTTAAGGGTGTTTATATAGGTCTCAAGTCCAGATTTTAGGGTTTGAACATCCTGGCACGTACGCCCAGCGTACTCCTGGTACGCCCAGCGTACGTGCTGCCTCTCTGCGATCCTCCTTGCCAAGTACGCTAAGCGTACTCATAAGTACGCCCAACGTACTTAAGGGCCTCTTATGCTATAATAGGAATACTTCAAGGGTTACAAGGTCATACCTGATTTGGAGTGTTACATTTGATATTGACAGATCGAGAATCTGTCATCCAGCAGCTGGGATTGTGTCTACGGGACTTCAGCAGTGTGAGGTGAGTTACCTTCCAGTAGAGGTGGGTCTACGGCCACAATGCCGACCCACTAGTAGGAGTTGTTTGTTAGACGATTGTCTTCGTGATAATTATATGGTTTGTCATTATCTGTTATGTTTGTGTGCTAGGATGCTTTGTGATACATGTTAGCAGTAGTAAGGGTGAAATAGTCCCCGGATACCGGTTGAAAGATACCGAAGGGGTCGTCAGAACCCATGCATGCCTAGCAGTATGTTTATGATATGTTATATGTGTTAGTGGTAGTAATAGGGGAATAGTCCCCAAGTTCGGTCGTTAGGACCGAAGGGTAGGTCGGGCACGCCATATATGCTTGACAGTATGATTATGCTATGATATTATGTGGTAGTAGTAGGGGGTGAAATAGTCCCCGTAGCCGGTTGAGATAAACCGGAGGGTAGGTCGGCACCCCAGAATGGCCTGACACGGGTTGGTCAGCACCCCAGAACGGCTTGACATGGGTAGGTCGGGCACCCTAGAATCGCCTGACAGGGTAGGTCAGCACCCCAGAACAGCTTGACATGGGTAGGTCGGGCACCCCAGAATTGCCCGACAGTATGCATGTTTTGTGGTATGTGGTATGATGGGGGAACTCACTAGGCTTCGTGCTTACGGTTTTTAGTTTTGGTTTCAGGTACTTCATTTTCAAAGGAAAGGAGCCGGCTCGATCGCAGCGCATCACTTGGGCTTTGACATGAGATGTTATTATGGATGTTTTTA